ATCTGATTCATGCAACAATGTACACAGCAAGCTGACCAAGTAAGGGAAAATTGGAATAAAAAAAACATTCACCGACAGAATTTTACATACAGTTAAAACATTTTTCATTTTACAATCATGCTCCTCAATCAAAAGTTTAAGGGAATAATATCTGCATAAAGCATAATTTAGAAGATTCAGAGTTCAAAACCATGACCTATTTATGAATAAACAACCCTTCGTTGAACATTTCGTCAGCATTGATGAAGAAACGAACTTTATAAATCACACCTCATTGCACAAAAGAAAAGTTGTACGGCAACAGGAGCATGAAACTAGAATGGATATAAAACAATTCAAGTTGGAGATTGCAAGCTCATTGGAATCTACTGCAAAAACAAAAACGCGTACCTGATTGGGTGGAATTGTGGCTTCTGTAGGCAGTGATGGAATAAGAATGCAATGAAGAAATAAGTTGAATACACGCTCTTAGTAAGTGTTTGATTCTTCACTCTTCAAAATTATTTCTGGAACGTGCACTAGCTTGTAATTACCCTCCTCCATTCCCTCCTTACACCACTCAATCAATGCTGGACAACTTCAATTTTCAAAGTTTGAAGAGAAGAGAGGTGACGGACACCTTCTGGTAGGGATCTCAATCCTTTACATTCACAAATTGCAAGAAATCTAAGGGATTGTAGACCTTCCCAATCTTGCTCTGGAAAGCATTCCAATGCACCACAACTTTTGATGTGCAGATACCTCCAAAGCATTGAGGTGGAAAAATTCATATGGAAATTCTTTCAAAATCGGGAAATCCGCCGTTGTCAGATTTTTGAGATCAGTCAGGTTTGTCCACATTCCCTCTGGAAAGGATGTTAGGTATTTACATCCTCGGAGATGAAGGTAGGTAAGATGAGAACAACAAGAGATCGAGCTCAGTAACTCATTATTACCTTCAAATATTTTGAGTGTCTCAACAGATGGAAGGCATGGCAACACAAATTTAGGGCATTCAACGATTGATAACTCAGAAAGGCAGGGGAACATGTCCCTTCTTTCCACTTTCAATAATCGCTCGAAATCTGGTAAATATCCTAATACAAGTTCCTTCAAAGCTGGAAAAGCCTTCACCCCGTGACATTCATCAATGTACTCTAAACCATTTATGTGCCATATTTCTAGTTTTCTTAGACATGGGAGTTTACCAAGTGATGGAAGCTGCATGCTGCTATTGCGACCAGTCAATTCAAGAACAACTGAACTGTTGAGACTTCCAACCCAACTCGGCAAGTGTAATTCTTCGTAGAATGCTATTTTCAACATTTTGAGATTTGAGTGAGGTTCAAGCACTTCCAATACTTGCTCGGCACTGAACTTGCTATCATCGCTGTTTTTCCAAGACAAGCATAATCCGTGCTAGTCTGTTTTGCCTAACAGATTGGCCTTCCGAGCTTCATCTATGCTTCTAACATTTCCAAGGCCTTGAATGCTCAGATTTCCTCCCAGCTTTAGATTGTGTAACTCTCCCAAGCTGTGCCCTTTCTCTAAACTCACAATGTATATACTCAAATATTCTTAGGCAATTTAGTTTTCCAATGTTAGGGAACACACGAGACAATGAATCAAAATCATCAATGACAAGATGTCTGAGATTCTGTAAGCAACTCAACTGTTCCGGTAAACATATAAGTTTACTAAAAGAATACAGCTTCAAGATTTCCAATTTCCTCGAGCTACAAATTGAGTCTGGGAGGGTTTCTGTGTGACGACCACCGTCATGAAGCTCCAGATACCTTAAATGATTTCAATACTGGAAGGATGGTAGCTTGACACAACATATGCGTAGAACACGAAGAGAACATTTTTTTGCAAAGCAAACAGAAATGGTGTTTTTGTTGCCAACTTCAAGCTGATAAAATGTTCGTACAGATTTAACCTTCTTGAAGAATCCCTTGTTGAATGATTTTTCATCGTCAGAGCTGAAACTAATATGGCGTGTGTTTGATGGCAAATTAGTCGTGTCTACATTCTCTAGAACCATGCAATCTTGCCCCATCACCGACTGAGAAAGATCATGGACAAGATCATGTATCTTGAAAGAAATGTGGCTTGATACACCATCCTTTTCAATATCTTGGAAGAATGATTTTCGGCACAATTCATTCACAATCATATTGCCAACACCTTCTACATCCAAGTTTTCCCTGGATGAAATAAACCCATTAGCCATCCAAAGATGAATCAAATCTTCTTTCTGTAGTCTTGTATCTTTGGGAAATATAGCACAGAAAGCAAAACACTGCTTTAAGGTTGGTGTTAAATGAAAGTAGCTCAACCTTAACGCAGGCAAAATAGAATTCTCATCCGTTAAAGTCCAAAGTCTACTTTCCTTAACTTCAAGCCATTCTTTTTTTTTCACTCTTTGTGCGCAATAGACCTCCTAGTGCTTGCGCTGCAAGAGGCAATCCCCCACACTTCTTTACTATCTCCTTGCCTATTGTTACAAGATCTTCACGCTCTTCTTTCTCAGGTCCAAATGCATATTGTTTGAACAATAACCAACAATCAACCTCAGATAGACCAGCCAAAGGAAGAGGTTGGCATGTTCGCATGATTGTTGCAACATCCATATCACGAGTGGAAACTAAAATGCAAGCACCTTTGGATCCACAAGACAACACAGATTTCAACTTATTCCATTTGTCTTGTGTTAATCCCTCCAGTTGTTTAGTTCTATTCCACACATCGTCTGAAACAAGCAGATACCTTTTACCTTGCAAGAGTTCTTTCACAGATTCTTCAATTACGTTTAAATTTGAGAGATCACACTTTTTTCTTTCGATGGATTCAAAAATGGAATATAGAATGTTGTTGACAGAAATTCTCAGATACACAAACCCAAATTTTTTTCTTCAAAATGGCTACTTACCCTTTCATCGTTGTAGACAAGTTGAGTAAGTGTCGTTTTTCCTACACCACCTAAGCCAACAATGGGATAGATGGAAATGAAGTCTGAGCCTTGTGCCTGGCTAAGAAGAAACTTCACAATCTTCTCTTTATCGCTATCTCGTCCATAGACTTGAGGTTGATCAATGATTGATCTGGTTTGGCGCCATTCAGCCAATTCAGTAACTTTGCCTTTCCCTGACACCCACATGTAGAAGAAGATTACTTTTACCTTCATCAATTTGATCAAATCTCCTTCTGATCTCTGTCAATCTGCTGCCAACCCTGTGGTGAAACATGATGCTCTTTGGATTGAAAGAAGATAAGCCCGCTAGTCGATGTGATTGTATGGAGCATTCATCAAGGATGGCATCTAGTACATATGTTGAGTTGTTGCAGCCAAATCTTTATAGAATGGTCTGTCATTTGTTTCTCTTAAGCATCTTCAAGGACAGCCTTGAAAAGAGTCAAAGTCCGTGCTAGGTGTTCAGTGTTTTCCTTTATTCCAGAAATGGTCGCAAACTCATTCTTATCCAAAGAGATCACATTCTCAAGCACAGCTCCAAGTAAGGCCTCAGCCATCTTCAGGGATGCAAAAGTTGAATAGAGAAAAGCTTAGAGATCAGTTTTGGTGTAGGAACACGATGATATTTGAGTCAAAGGTGGGTAGACTAGAGTCAGCAATGAGAATAGTCAACGTACGACAACTTACGATGGCAAAAAGGTAATTGAATTGCAATCGCTATAATTCAAGGAAATTTTCGAAGAGGGACCATTGTATTTTCAGTGATTTATTACGTTTAAATCAATTAGTGAGCAATGAGAATAGTTAGAATTTGTGTTATGAAAACCGACCGGTCGCAACCGGAACCGGTCTTGAACCAGTGAAACCGGTCAAAATGGGACAGGCTTTGTCTCAACTGGTTCTCTTGTTAAATCCAATAAAATGTAACAAATGGTCTTAGCTGGTTAATAAAATTTTTAATCAATGAACCAATTATTTTTTATTGTGTAAGATAAACTATTTAATATATATTATATTAGTTTATTTGAATATAATAAAGTATTAACGAAATATAACAAAATATTTAATACATACAAAAGAAAATTAAAATAAATCTATATAATAAATATGTTTATGAAGATGAAATATGTTTCCTTATTATTAATATATAATAAAATTAATTAATATGAATTTAAATATCATTTTATTATATTAATTATTAATCAAATATTATATATATATATATATATATATATATATATATATATATATATACACATATAATTATCACCGATTCAGTTCTAATTTAACCACAATTGATTAATAAACCATAAATAAGTACTTTCACTATTTTAATGATTAAGTTCGATTCTAAAAACATTGGTTAGAATTAAGGAGCAGCTATAGTTTGTTTAGGTTGGAGTAATAGACTTCATATATACTATATGATAAAATAACTGTATGTACTAGTATAAAATATGATATAATGAATTGAATATTTATTAAAATTATTTAAATAAAAAAGCTCATGTCCAAATGTTATATAATGGAGAATTTGAAGAAAGACGTACGTTTGGGAGTTTAGCAGATTTATGGCATGTTTAGATTGATGTTAAATTTACTTAAATGTGGGTTCATTATACCTTATATACCTTATAACATTTTTTATGTTGAAATACAGTACATGATTATAAGAGTTTTAAAACACACACTAATTTTTTTTGTTAATGTATTTTATCTTTTAAAAACTGTTAATTGAAAATCTTATTTCAAAATATAAAAATTACCACGGGATGAAATTGTTAATGAGTTTAGCTTTTGGGAAATTAAGTAAGGTTGACTTAAGTTTTAAAATGCATGAGTACATCTAATACAAACTTTGTGTTTTCAACTTATATACCTTTGAGAATAGAGAATTCACTCAAAAATTCACTTATTATTTAAAAATTCCCTTATCAAATTAATATGTTAAAAAGTATGATGGTAACATTCTTCAATTGAAAAATGTGATTTTAATTTTATTTTCAGTGAATGATTTATTTAATTGTGAATCGTGGGGAATGACATAGCGGAGAGAGAAGAAACAGAGATGATGCCCCCCTGTCCGTGCACTGCCACTGCCTATTCTCATTCACTTCTCCATTCTCCATCAAATTATTTAAAACCGAAGTCGCCGCTATTAGTCAGTTACAGAAACACACTGCGGGATGGCGGGGCGCAAGTATTTACCCTCCTCCCTCATGCGCCTCGACGAACCTCGCCTCGCCACTCGCCTCCCTCACTCTTCCTCCTCCGCCTCCGTCCGAGCCCTCCCGGTGGCCGCCCTCGAAGACCTTATCGACGCCCGCCACCGCGAGATCCAGTCCCTCCTCGTCGACAACCAGCGCCTCGCCGCCACCCACGTCGCTCTCAAGCAGGACCTCTCCGCCACTCAGGACGAGCTCCGTCGCCTCTCCCTCGCCGCCGCCGATGTCAAGGCTGAGCGCGACGCCCAGGTGCGTGAGATCTACGAGAAGTCGCTCAAGGTGGACGCCGAGGTGCGCGCCATTGCCGCCATGAGCTCCGACCTCGATCGGGTGCGAGTGGACGTACAGGAACTCGCTGTAGAGCGGAAGGAGCTCGCGTCGGAGCTGCAGTCCGTCGAGAGCGACCTCGCCAGAGCGCGCGCTGAGTCGCAGTTTGTGCCTGCCATCAAAGCTGATATAGACGCCATGCGCCTCGAGATTCAACGAGGAAGGTAAATTTTGCGTTTGATTCGATTGCTGTGTTATTTATTTATTTATTTTTGTGAATTTGTGTTTCATTTTTAGCATTGTTTGTGTTAATGGCTTTGTGTTATTGTTGTATTGAATTGTTTGTGCGTAGTCTTTTGAATCTCTAATGGATTTATGGACTGGGGTTTGTTTCTGAAATGTGAGGACTTGCTCTGCCAGTTGTGATGTGATGACAATTATTTATTTATTTAGTTTTTGGTGTGATGCATATTTGGCATGTGGAAAGAATGAGTTTCAAGTAAGAATGCAAGATGGCCAGGAGTTTTTCTATTTTCACTATGCATTTTCCGTGCAACGGTGCACATTTTTTGTTGTTGGTTTTTTTTTTTTTTTGGCTTGGACATGAAAAAGATAAAGAAAGAAAGCTGCAACTCGAAGCTTTAGGTATTGAATGCTAATGTAATTGGGGAGATGGATAAAGTTTGGACTTTTGTTATACTCAAGGTGCTCCGGACTAAGCGCAGATGAAGTATTTTTTATGTAATTTTCTTGTTAGTAGTTGTAACGGTCCTTGTGTGAAATGGTTTTACTGAATAGTTGTGGGTACTGTCCCAAGTACCGTTAGTCCTTAGTCTCCCCTCCCTTGAGCATGTGATGGAAGGTTTTCAGAATCTGAATGAACTGTTGCACACAAATATATCTGTGGATCATCAAGATCAGGGGAGGAAAAGGACCTTTATTTGTTCTTTGGGTCACTCTCTACTCCTTTCATTGTTTTATAATTTGCTTGGTTCACCTTAAAACTAGGAAAATAATTGCTTATTTTTCAAAATCTCTCTTTGTAAGTGACAACACTAAACAATTATTGCTCCAAAATAGGTTGAACCAAGCACATACTTGGTTTTTTTATTATATTTTTTTTTCTCAAAACGGTGGTTTTATGCAAATATGGCAGCCTACACACCATGTGCCCTGGTGTTTTGGTAGCTTTCTGCTACTGCCTCTCATTTGACTCATGCCATTGACAATACTGATATTTATACTGTTAGCTTCTGGATTTACTATGTATTATCAGTCCATTGTTTTGGCTTTATTTCTAAGTTAGACTATTTGACTCTGATACTGTGAATGGTCCTCTATCTTCCACCTAGTTTCAAATTTCAATGCTGTAGTGTCAGCTAGCTTCAGCTACTCCCATGCACCTAGATTCCATTGTTATAGCAAACTTAGTTGAGTATGAGTAGGAATATTCTATGGCACAAAGACCTTTTCTTTTGCTTCTTCTCAAGAGTGTCTAATGACAACAGACCACATCGGTTATTGTCTCCTCTTCCATAGCTAGCTTGAATGCATGCATGGTTCCAACTCATGTTTGTGGCATAATGAGCTTAACCCATTAATGATTTTTCTTCTGCACATATGGTACCAGTATGGTGCAGTTCAAATGGGTTTTTTACAGACTAAACTGAAAATGTAAATTACTACAAAATATTCGGACATCAAAACAAACACAGGTCATTCTTCTTTTGTTTGACCAACTCTTGCACAAGCTCCCCACTTGTGGTTTCAAGTAGCCTTGCATTGGAGAGAAAATGAAATAGACATCAATAGAGTATAAGTAGTGTTGGAGAAGAAGGGCCGTTGGAGAACACATCGCATGCAGTAATGGTGGATTCAGATTAGAGGGGCTGTTGGAGAAGAAGGGACAAGGCTGGAGAAGCTCCACGCGCTTGGGATGTTAGGTCTAAAAGCAAAGTTAACAATTTTACTAAAAACTGAAGTTGGGGGAGGGGGTGTTAAATGATTCAAAAATACTTTTGGAGGGTTCTTTGAGAAAGTGTGGAACTTGAGGGGGTAAATTATGATATATCTTAAATTTTAGTAATCCTTCTTATTTTTATTGTTGAAGTTTTGTGGTAGCACCCATTGTAGAAAAAATGGTAGAATCCTATGTTTGAACATGTTTGGAGTAAACTTTTAGAAGCCCCATAAAGGGCAGTAGATCAAATAGAGGGTTGCCCTGTTGCTACAGGTATAAATCAATACTTTGTCTATAGACATGATTCACAATGAAACATTATGTTGTTGTTTAATCTATGTAACCAACCCTACCTAACGGGATAAAGGCTCGGTGGTTGTTGTATCCTTTTGTTCTTTATTATTGAAATATTAAATTATGCATCTTACAAATATTTTAATTGAGTTGTACTTCATGGTGTATATATATATATATATACATAGTTGACTTCATGACCTATTTACCTGCCTTTGGACAAGGCCGACTTCTGGTTCAGGTTATATGACTTCAGGCTAGTCTGTTGGAGGCTAATATCATATAGTGGAGGGAGATTTTGTTGAAATATTATGTGTATTTAGTATTTACAATTGTACTCATTAAAATTATGTTTAAATCCAATCAGAATTTGTGGACATGATATTAAGATTGTCCAGGTCATGTTTTTTGTTCATTACTGTCAAACTATTATTTTCTCTCATTTCTGACCCTGCATAAATCTGGTTTAGGCGGGGCTGGGTTGATCTGTGAATTTCTTTGAACTTAAAATCATAGTAATAGTAGTTAAATCGATATTCAAATCGTGAATTGTAAGATTCATGACCCATTGCTAAAAATATAATAAAAAATATTCTAATATAAAGAAAAATTAAATTCAATATATTGACATTTTATAGTCAAATACTTCCTTGTATAACTAATAAAATGAAACATAGTACAAACATATATGATTTGCAAATTTCTTGAATGACATCATCTCGATCTTTGAATATTGTATTCATTGTTATTTGTTTCATAGCTTTAGATGTCCCTTCTTTTACTTTGTAGACAAAAGAATTCATTATTTCCTTTTGATGAGCACTTGCATCTTGGGTTTCAACTTCTTCAAAACATTTCAAGTTATTTTCACCTTTATTCTTTTCTTTATCTTCCAATAGTTTGATAAATATCTCTTGATCTCATCTGGAATACTTGTACATGAACTTATATTTGCTTTTGTTTTAGCTAGATGATGTTTCATCCTTGCAATTCCATTCTAACAAGTATGAGAACAGTATTTGCATTTCACTACCAGGCTGTGTGGAGGGACATTTTCACGGTGTTTCCACGTGATATCTCTCTATTTTTTTTTATAGGACCCATTTGTCTCTTGAAAGAGCAAACAATAATAAAAAAGAGTAGGAGAATATAAATAGAAAATAAGTAGAATTGTTGTAGAGACAGGAGACTACCAGAATCTTGAATTGGGAGTGAAGTTGAGAAAATTACAATAATGCACAAGGAGACAAAGGAAAAAGCAGCAAACATTGTAGAGAAGAGGAGCAGAGCAGGTGGGAATGAGAAACTAAGGGTTTTTCTCTAAAATATAACAGTAGATCTCACTGCAGTGGGAGTATCGAAAGGTTCCCTCACATTTTGCATTAAAAAAAAATTTCTTTAGGGATTTTAGTGAACCAGGTCGCGTGCGACTTGACTTGCTTCATGTGCGACCCAGTCTGCAGTAAAATTGTGTGCCACGCACGAAAATCTCGATTCAATAGCAATTTAGGCTGTGATTCTGGAATGAAACCAATACTCCTTGCGATCTGTATCCTTCAGTTGCAGAACTGCATCGAATCACATGTATTGAATCGGGAATCATGCAATACTAACTACCGTGCTTAAAATCTTTCACGATATGTTGATGAAGCTCCCAAAAGAAGAGTTTAAAAACTATTGATGATGTGTATTGTTCGGTTTGTTGAAGCTTGTCTAATTTATGCCATATTCCTTGATTTGATTTCTAATATTGAAGCGTGTGTTTCACTTGGTTACTTATAAATGATATCTAATCTAACCATCTAGATTTTGTAATTGCCAACCTCCCTTGCTGATTCTTGCCTCCAAATTCAATTGGTATGGGGAAAAGTCATGCACAGTCTGAAATACCGTACAATGTGCATTTCTAAAATTTCCATTTACTAATGCATATAGGAATGCTATTGACTTTGAGAATAAGATACATGTCAGTAACCTTGAGCACAGACGGGCAATGGACAACAACATGATTATTATGGCCCGTGAAGTTGAGAAGTTACGTGCTAAGCTAGCTAATGTAGAAAAGAGGGCAAGGGCTGCGATGACTGCAGCTGCAAACACAAGTAATTTGCCTTTCTTGATCGTTCATCTTGAAGTGCTTACGAAATAGAACAGAAGTATAACTTGAAATTTTGGTTAAACTTTGTTTATAAGGGCCCTGTTTGTTTTTCTTTTCAAAAGACATTTTTTTAATAAAAAAACTCATTCAAAAGTTTTTAGGATAATTGAAAACCTCAAAAAATGGCTGTTTGACTGCTTTTCTATCAAGTTAGAAAGTATGGATCCATTTGTATTTAAGCTTTGAAAAATAAAACCTCAAAGTGACTGCTCTGCTCTTCTCTCAAAAGTCTAGATTTTTTTTGGAGATTACCTTTTATGTTTTTAAGAAAAGCTCTCTATTTATCTCTCTCTCTCTCTCTCTCTCTATATATATATATATATAAAAGAAAGAGATGTATTTAATAAGAGGGCTATTTTTATGAGTAAGAGAAGTAAATCTTGACTATACAATCACGTATACATGTAATTACAATTTTTCAGCTTTTTAAAGCATGTTTTTTTAATTATTCTTAAATGTGTCCTATAAATATATGATTTGTTTTTTGTTGTCCAGATCCTGGGTATCCTGCAAACTTTGACAATCCTGAGGTGGGATATGGAGGAATTGCATACCCTCCAGATTCTTATAGCTTGCATCAGGTATTTGCACTGTGTAGTTTTATATACTTTTTACCTGCTAGTCTCGAAGTAATGTCGTCAATTTACATCAAGAGATCTCTTAAGAGGAGTCGATTCTGCATCTGAAATATGACGAACTACTATTTACTAAACGAGGAAGAAAAGGCAGTAATATTAAATATTTTTTAATGATTTTTTTTATGAAATTGAAAAAGAATGGTAAAACTTGTTAACCTAATTATCTGAAATCTTAACTTTTAAACCGAGTTATGAAAACAAAAAGTAATACATAAGTTTAAAAATTGGTATTTACCCCAAATTTGCTCATTTTAACCTTGTGTTTTTAATCCTGTAGGTTGTCGACATACTTAATGACCGACTTTCTTCTTTCTTTCTTTTCCCCATTTTTTAGTCATTTTATTTTCTAGGAAAGAAAATTTTGCTTATGTAACTAACCTGAGATCTCGACCGATGACTGCTAAATGTATGCTTGCAAGTGAATGTCTTGTTTAATTGTTTTCGTAGTGGATAGATAGTCTTCCCAATATTTTACCATCATGTGCCTAGTGTATAGAACAATGCCAGGAGGATAAATAATTCAAATCTGCTGAACTTTTCAGATGCAAACCGGGGTTGACCCTCGTCCTCAATATGCATCTGGAGCAACATTACATCGTCCTTATGACCTGCAACATACACAAATGCCTAGATAGGCTTCCAGCGATGCTTTATTTTTTGAAGGAAGAGAAAGGAAAATTATGTAATGTTGCAAATGTCCCCTTCAATAACAGCGCATATTATTTGCTGATATCTGAAATTGGTTATAAATCTAACTCTTAAGCTCGTATATACGTATGTATCAATGTGCTATTTATTCATTTGAAATGTGTTCAGGTAGTCTAGGTTCAATTTTCCCCGTAGCTGTTTTACTTATTTCATGAGACATGATCCTAAATGTCGAAGTCCATATTGAAAGCACTGCATGAACAAGTTACAATTCAAGTCACCAACGTATATGCACATAAAAAGTATCTAACCTATACACCCAACAAAAAAAATGGTATTTGATCTGGCACTGTGCAATTGACTGTGGTCAAATACAAGAAAATCTTCATCATATCTTGCCGATAGCGCTAAACTGGAGGCAATTGATCTGACGCCGTGCAATTGACTATTGTCAAACACAGGAAATCGTTGTTCAATGACGACACCAAGTTAGGGAGCAACTATTGCTCACTAAGGTTAAACACAAGGAAACTGTCCTCCCTTGCTGATCTTGGCACTATTGCTCACTAACAACACCAAGCAAACGGCACAACTGATTCGGCATTGTACAATAAACACGAGGAAATCCCCTTAGCTTTTAGATCATCACACATCATAAAAAGACCTCCCCAGATCATCCACCTCGGGTTGTCCAAAGACCAAGAATATCGAAGGTACACTAAGAAGGCTCCTCTAAGGCTTATCCCATCAATTAGCATAATTCATGCACCTAATCTTTGATTAACAGTGAGCTTAACTACTTAAAAGTCATGTGTAAACATATGATTCCATCAGATTATCCTAGTTACACAGTATTAGTCCAACGACTAATGTCAATATAATGATAAAAAATCAAAACACAAAATAGACGCCTGTATAAAAGGAGACTCTAAAGGCTGAAGGACATTCATTGTAAGCCTTACTAAGAATTCCATATAAGAATCCATCTAAATTAAGCTTCGGAATAATTCTTGCTGGAATACTCTTCTACTTTACATTTCAATAGATAAATCATGTAGCCGTTTGAAAAGTTATACATGAATATAGGAAATAGAAGAGTGGTGCAAACTAAAACTCCGTAAATTTTATACATGACACAACATACTAAATACCGTACATATTTATAATTTAAACGAAAAAACTTTTGGATGAATGAGATGACATAATATACATGAATCCGAGTCTATTGACATAATTCATTACAATTGCGTAATGGATAAATGGTACCCTTCTTTATGTAGAAATTTTCTCATGGTTCCAGACTACCAATCATGATCCTAACTAATAGAAATGTGCAGACTACACAATTTTCTCGTCTTTTAGATATCATGAATATGTAAGGATAAAATCACACCTGACTTCACAATAGTTAATTTCAATTATTAATTATATTTTTGTTTTTACTCTTATGTTATCCAATTTTTATAAAGTTCTAGAGATTACGAAAAATAGATCCATGACATTGCTGTCAAAAGCCCACAAATAGTTTCAAAAATCATTCTAGGAAAATACCTTTAACCTTTTGACTAGACTGTTTTTCAAATTTGCGTTTTCTTCACGCTGCATAGCCTAATTTAATATTATGATGGTTAATTCTTATGGTTATTCTTCTACATGTATGTAGTATGTAGAACGAACCACCTAGAAGGGAACTCTTCGGCTACCTTAGTTATTTAAGGATGTAAAAATGCCTTGAAACCAGACCTATTTGTAGTATTACTCCTACCAATAAAAACTTAAAAGAGTAAACACCCATTTCAATAGTCCGTTTGTTTCAACTTTTGAAAAAACTAATTTTAAGATATATAAATAATGTATATTTAGACATTTTATAAAAATTAGAAATTACATTTTGTTTTATTACAATTATATAAAATTAAATTTTTTAATTTAGTGAGTAGTTAAAATTTTAGTTTTTTTTTCTACAAGTTATTCAAAACCATTTTTTTTAAAAGTTAAAATCACATTTTTTTTATAATAAGTTAGTTTCCATAAGTGATTATTTTAACTTATTTTAATAAGTGTTTTAGTATAACTTATAAAAATAATTATTTTTAACTTGTCTCAACAAGTTTTATTATTAAATTTAAGACATAAGTCCTTGTTTAAAAAAGAAAATTTATTGTGAACAAGTGATTAAATAAACAACTATTTAAACACACTCTAAAAACTTAAATAAAAATTTATTTAAATGTACTCTTAATCAAATAATAATTAAATTTTTTCTCAGTGAGTGAAAGGAGAAAGTAACCAAAGAAAAATAAAATTGTACGAACTCTTTTACGAATTAAATACCTCTATCTTAAGTGGATTAACGAAGTGAAATATTGTATTAAAAATTATATTAATAATTTATTAAACAATTTATAAACAAATTCACTTAAAATAAAATTATTTATTCAATCGACTAACTTAGACAAAAAGATGGAAGGTATGACCAAAGGGAATTATATTTACACGTTGCTTACATTTTTCCCGTGTCATGAATTAGAAATATAAACACTGCATCTGCGACGAGTTCTGAATGTCTAAATAATGTAAGGAAAGCAATGTACGAGTGAATATTCCTAGTCACGAAGAAAATGGTTTTTAAATTGAGTAGATTATTTGTATATATCATCGATCGTACGGTCACATAAATAACAAAATAAAAGAGTAACACAAAGAAGACACCAACAATTAGTGATCACGGGTCGGTTATGGTTAGGTTTGGGTCTATAATTAGTTAATTATAGTTAATAAAATTACTTTAAAAAAACACAAAATTACTTAAAAACATCTAAAATATGAATCATTAATATATTTCAATACAATAAAATTAAAGTGTTAATTATTTTTGATAATAATAGACTAATAGCAAGTTGTTAAAAAAATTAATTAATAAAATATAGAACATTAGTCTTACTCATCTATTGTATATAATCAAATTATCAAACAATAATATTTACAAAAAATTCTAGTAGCATTCACTTACATGCTACCAAACTTTAATTTAAAATAAATAGTCATATCCACTATATTGACTAAATTATCCAGAAATAACATCCACAAATTATATTTTAGTAGTATCAATATATGCAACTTGTTTTTCTTATCATAACAAAATATAATTAGTTTTAATGTAAGCAAAGCATAACAATATTAATTTGATAGGAGTTATAAAAAAAAAAAACAAAGTGAGTAGATTACCAAAAATCCAAATGACTAGTGTGCATATTGTGTAATGCTGCTGTACTACTATTAGGATTCATAATCTGTAACATATCATAATCATGATACATAAAATAGTAGCAAAGTGAGTAGAAGTCACCTATAATTTACATTTAGCACTAAAAACATTGTTGCAGCAAACATTATCAATTTAATTTGCAAATTTTAAAACATAAAAAATAATTAAAACATAAAATGGTAGCAAAGGTAAATTATTTATGTAAATAACTAATTATCTACACAAAATGTTCTTTGCTTATAAAAAAGCATGGTAGGAGTACGTAGTCAGCAAACACTACCAGTTAAATTTACAAATTCTAAAACATAAAGAAAAAAGAAACTAAATAAAGAATAAAGTGGTAGCAAAGGTAATTTATTTATATAAACAAATAATTACCTATATAAAATATTCTTGGCCTATAAGGAGTAGCAATAATATGCAGCAGTAAGTTTTTCAAAGCCAAAAAGACAATGCACCTATTACATGTTATCAAAGTGCGACATTGCAAAAAAAAATTACATTCAAACACAAAATATTGCACAGAAGACAATAAATATAAAAAATTAATGCCAACAAAAATAAATCATAAATGTGCATGTATAAGATATTACCTAGGATAGCTTATGGCTGTCCAGATGTTGCTGCAACAATAGCAACAAATGCTGATCAAGGATGCCTATTCTTGCCCTTCTTTCCCTCTTTCACATCTTGAAAACAATCAAATAAAGAACAAAAAGGTTAAGCAAGTAACAATATACAATAAACAAGTAAATTTGTATAATTTAAAAAAGAAAGTAAGAATACCTTCCACAATTTTGCTAGTAATCTCAAGCTCCTCACGTACATTCAGCTCTAAAAATGGATTCAACCTTGATTTTAACCAGTTTTGAGTACATACCAAAGCTTCAGTCATCTAATGATTTAATGAAGCCCTGTAAACGTCTAGCACTCTACCTCCAGTGCTAAAAACAAATTCAGATGCAACAGTTGTAAACGTCTAGCATTCTACCTCTAGTGCTAAAAATAGATTCAGATGTAACAGTTGATACTAGGGTGACCATAATATCTCCAACCATTGTAGACAATACAGAAAACCTTGAGGAATTTGATTTCCACCAAATTAAAAGCTCAAAATTCTTGTCCCTATCTACATGTGGCTCACTAAGTATGTTTTTAGCTCTTTTTTTTTTTTTTTTGTCAATAAGGCTTTTTTCCTTAAGAAAAATGCTTAAAAGTATTAGCTCTTGCCCTACGAGGGGGCAATGCTAACTGACTAGAAGGTAAGATAACAGAATTTGATGATTTAGAATCATGTTGTGATTGAGAAGAACCCTTATTTCTCATAACATACCAATTATACATTCGGTTCAAACTTACTTTGACATTTCTCACATTTTCTAATGCAATGAAATGGTCATCATGGTGCATTTGAGTGAAAGACCACTCCACAAATTGCATCTTGAACCTGGGATCTGAAGTCACACCATAATACAACAAATGGTTTATGTGATGTATATTTCTCCAATATTTATCATTTTTTTTTTCATATCACTTGCCCATTTTGCTCATTTAACAATCAACATTTTGAGTAGCATCACAAATTTCACAATGCATTAATGCCAACTGATGGAGGGAATTGTGAAGAGTTAGAGTGTTTGATACAGAAAATAGTTTGGTTGCATCATAAAAAAATTTTAGAAACTTCACAAAACAGCTCAATCTATGCATGTTGGGGCACCAATACCCCCAAATGAATCTTAAGTATGTTGGGTCAAGAAATTTAAGTCTCTCAAATGCTTTTTCAAAATTTTCAGTAGAATCCAAAATGGTATATGTTGAATTCCACCTTGTTGACACATCAAGACACATTGACTTTGATGACTGGATCCCAGCTACCT